GCATGTGCATTCTTATGTAAACAAAAGGGTGCCGCCTCCACCCAGCACGGGTGCTATCAGTCTCAAATGAATTGACAGGTCTTGGAATGCATAGATTTACAACAGACAACAACAACATTTACTAAAGTTAATCATTTTAAGCTTTGGCAACAACAGTTGACAGAACTGTCTCAACTTAAAGTTTGAAGATACTAAAATATTCTGCCTGGTAACAAAGCTCCAGGAAATCCACATGCTTTCATTCAAAATAAATGTCAAACCAAAATAATTGAAATGCACTAGAACTGGCATTTAAGAGACCACTTCGTCATCTCTGCCAGGAAGAAACTGATTGTTCAAACTTCGTTCCAAGACTTCTCTCTGGTTCTGAGTTTGATTCAGAGCCAAATACAAATGCAGTCCACATTCCACATTTCCCACATGCCATGCCCCCTCTCACAGTAGCAGGCACCATTTTTCACATGTTGTGTATATTAGTATTTGCCAGAAAACACTGCAGGTATTAACCGCCCACCGGCCCTAAGCTGAACTGGAGCAGAGAGTGCAGATTTGTTTATCCTCTGGCTGGGCAGATGTGTTGAGAGAGGGGAGATCATTGCTGGTTAAGGGCACTCTGACTGATGGGAAAGGGTACAGAAGAAGGGAGTCAGACTGAGCTGATACAACGCAGCTGTCTGGCAGATTGTGTTACAAGAAAATGTCCAAATGATCCTCATTTACTTTGCTTGGTTACATTTAATGGGCAGTGAGGAAAGGTGAAATATAGTTGGGATGGAGAAAGTGCTCCATGGAGACTGTGTGAAAGCAGATCGGGGTTGAGTGTTTATCACCCCAATGAGATGCTCCTCCAGATGTGCAGAGTACAACATAAACACATGTAAAAATTCACATGCATGTGCAACTATAAACAGGCAAAAATACTTTCTCACAGTCCAGTATGCACACTCCTTTCACCCAAATTAGTGTGCAGAATAAAGACAGAAAGTTGCACAGCACTCTCCCTCCCATTTGTTAGCTGTCCTTGAGCTTTTGATTGTTACAAATTAATGTTTTTTATCAGAAAGAGTTTGCCAGTTGTAGAAAACGAGAGGTTTACAGCCATGCTAGCTGCTCTACGAGGCTGTAGCTTACCAAGTTAGAGCAATGTTTAGAGCTAAATGCTAATGTGTTGCTTAAAATGATCACATTGACAATAAAATATGCTAAAGGTTAGCAGGTAGGGAGTGTATTATGCTCCAGCCTAACAGCCTAAGAAATGGACCGTGAAGGGTCCCAACTCTAACTCATCAACAAAGAATTTTGAGTACTTCACAAACACAACAATGTGTGTTTTGTTAAGCTGCGATTGTTCACAATTTATTATACAATGACCTTTTACTTTATGAGAGCATGCACTTGAAAAGCCTAAACTCAGTCATCCTCTGGCTCTCGGCCCTGAGGTGAGGCAGAGTGTTGTGTTTACTCGGCCTCCTGGGAGTGATCTGACCTCTGAGACCACACCAAGCGAGACAACGTTTATTAAAGACCCTTTCTTGTTTACAGCCGCCCCCTTTAACTCATCTGCTTGGAAGTTGTTAGCTGGGCGGGGAAAGCAGGGAGCAACATACTGTAGTGTTGTTATGGGCGCTACGAAGGAGCAAGAGATGAGTTGGTTCTTGTTCGGGCCTCCATGAGTAGAAAGGACCAAGTCGGAAAGATGTTGGAACAATAGCATAAAATAAATGATCATCTGGACATGCACTAACAACCAATTGCCACAAACTTTCCGAAGAAGAAAAAAGCAGCTTATCTGTTTTTCTGCTTTCAGAAAGAGACCCAGCACAGAAAAGCTGGTTCAGACTTGAGTGCTGCACTGAAGTTTTCTGAGAGGAAGTCTCTTATCACGGCCCGGACAGATAACATTGTGTTGCTGTTGTCCCGTACGGCTCCTGTGCAGGACGCACGCTGGTTTCATTTGAGTCTCTAATCTCAGTGAGACATCTTGTGACATTTCCAACAGCACACACCATGTCTGAAAATGTCTCCATGATTTCAGCTGGCCAGAATGAAAATACTTCTCTCATGATTCAGCACTTTTGTCACACAATGGAGGTATGAATACAGAGCCATGTACATACAGACAGGCTTTATAAGGCCCTGCAAAGCTTCTTGGTGTTTTGAGGTCATCTCTAAAACATCTATTATTCAATCTTTAAAAAATCCATTATATTAAAGTTTTCATAAACCTTTTACTTCAATGACATCAGCACTGTCATTTATACAGTGAGTCCAACAGATACAGTTTAATACACAGTAACTCACACATCATTATTTATATGAGCTAAACCAAACTACTCCCATCCATTTACAAATGTGTAATGCTTATTATTAATTCACTTCGGTGTTTGACTTTCACTCTGCATAAAGATTAATGTGCAGAGTTTGACACAATAAAGCTGTTCATCTGCTGAAGGAGGAAGGTTTCTGTGCTCACCTCACATCTGAGTTCAACACATCTACATGCAGGCATTGTTTTGTTACACGACAACTAGTTTCAAGGCGATGTGGTCCACTTTGTAACATTCACAAACTGTAATGTGGGAAATTGAAGCTTCTAGGTGCTTAAACACTGAGAATAGATCTTATGTTTAGTCGTGAAACCATAAAGCAATACGTTTTTGCACATCATCACATTCTTCAGTGGAAGGAGGAAGTAGAGAAGGGAAGAATTTATACTTTTTTTCGTGGAAAACATTAGACACTTTTTTGTATTTGTCGTGTCGTATGTGTCTTGTTATGTTTCAATACAATATTGTCACAATATCACTAATAGTGTAAACTCAGATTTTTCAGATAACACTTATCTGTTTTTACAATGGTAAAGTTAAATGCATAACTTTTGTTTGTAATTGAGTACTTAAATTGCTTGATTCATATTCTAAAATGTATGCAACGAGTAGAAGTCTATCATATAAGCGTGTAAGGTATCATAAACATGAGCCTAACACCCTAATCTTTTTACAGAATAGCTTTGTTTTTCATGTTTTATTTAATTTAAAACCGTTCTACGAAAACAGTTTTGACAGATTTTCAAATCAACATTTTAATATGCTACAAAACACCAAGTTACAACCCAGTCCTCTCTAGCATACATTTAATATGATCTAGAATTACATATTTTTGAAAATGATTTCTCCACATTAAGTAATGAATTGGACTATGGTGGGGCCTGCTTTTTCATCCCCCAAAGGCTTTAAGAAGGGTGTTTCATTTCACAGCCCTTCATTTTTACATGTTTCAGTGTGCTCCAAGAGAGACCCAATTTCCTCCAGTGTGGGTTGCAAAGATGTTTTGTAAATGATGTAACCTGAAGACTTTTCAGGTTGATGAAATGGCAGGGGGCCACATCTGTCCTAACTCTGTGTCCAGTGAGTATATAGTGGACAGGGTGGAGAAAGACCATATGCTCCGTGCTCTCAGGAGTGACTGCAATATGAGCTGCTTCTCTGGCTGAGGTCCTGTAAACCCATTATGGACGTTTTCCCCCTTCAAACTGTAATAAAGTGAGAGGGATATTGGCTGACTCTGCTTCCACTTTGAGAACACGACTTCTCTCACAAGAAAACACTCAGTTGGAAAAACTGTTTTAGATCATCTGAGCTAATTTGGATGAGGGGTGTCCCCGGAGCATTTTCAAAGTATGGCGTGCAGCGAATTCTGTTCAGAAAGATCCCCAGAAGTAAGGATTGTGTGTGTCAGGTTAAAATCTTTACCCTCCCATCCTTTATGAAATTAACTAATTCAAAACTGCCATCATTGCAATTCAGTAGACATATTTAGAATGTCCTCTTTTATGTCTTCGCTGCTGATTACTCACCTCTTAATTTGATCCATAACTTCACAGAAAATGTTGACTTTGCTGAAAAGCTTTTTTTCCTAAATGTTCCGATGGTATCATCAAAATGTCTGCATACGTCAGGGACAAATAAAGTGCAAGAAAGTCCTTGTTTTCATATTTAGACAGGATCAGTGGAGGAACAAGCAAACAGTGCGTCAATGCACAATAGGGTCAAAGTGGAACATAAACATCTACAGTGGAAACAGGAAACAAGAGGATGGGTTTTCCTGATGTTTGCCTCTGAAGTTTGTCTTGCCATCTGTTACGCAACAACATTCAGATAACAAAAAGGTCTGTTGAGATGATTTAGATAAGGTAGGACACATAAAATGTTCTCCAAAATTACTTCCTATAATATCACATTTTAATTAAATTAACAAGTCTATATGAGAATAAAAGGGTTATTTGATGTAATCGAACTTAATGAAATGCACTTCGAGAATGCATAACGTTTTTTCTGTTCAGTGAAGTTTTTAGTGTGTAGAATTATGGACTAAGCTACAGCAGCATTTGGTTGAGCAACCCTGTGTTGCATAAAAACAACATGATCACAACTTTTATAGTATTGTCATATATTATATTTTACTGCACTCAGTTTCCTACATAACCATATTTAGTGTAAATATTGTCATTATTCTTCATTTGTTGCAATTGTCTTAGCTTTTAAAATTGTACTGTTCTTTTTATTTTTGGTTACGTATTCTTCTTTCTGTGTCTCTGTATGCACCACTTATACCAAAGCAAATTCCTAATATGTGCACACCTACTTGTGATTCTGATTATTTCAGTTTGTAACTTGAAACTCTTGCACCCACTAGTGGTTAGGACGGGTATTACATCAGGAAGAGGATTTTAAATAAAGTGTCCTATACAATATTTGGATTCTATAAGAAATTAAAAAAAAGTAGTCCCCCATTGTTTAAGAATTGTATGAGCATTCAGATAAACACAAACACTAGATAAAAGTGAAATTATTCTGTCAATTATGCATTTGTCTAAAAATAGACAAAGGAAGATTTATTTTAAACTATATTTTGGTTTAAGCACAAATGATGTGCACTGACAGATTTATGCAATGTATTGCTTTTAATGTTTAAATAAAATAATCACCCATGCCAAGGTCTTCATTTCAATCATACATTTATTTTATATAAAAGAAAACAAGGGTTGCAATATTAACAGTTATACACACAGGCCCGTTACTGGAAAACTACGGTATCCAACATGGCAGCTAGGCACTGAACGATGTTGGAAGTCATTAAAACGTCTACGTGCTCCTCCAAGTGCCTCTTGGGATCCTGCGGGGACAGAACATTAGGACAAACATCAACAATGGGATTTGTTATGAAGTGTTATTTAAAAAATACAATATCTGTTTAGACAAGTTTATGGTTTCGAAAAAAACTTCAGAAGACTTAAATGAAAGATTAACTCGATCTCTTCTTTTCAATAGTCTCTGCACTTTCTGACTCTAGTCCTAGGCTCTCTTTCACTGACATTGAAGCAGTTTGACACATATTGAAACAAAGAAACATACTATGAATGATAGTTTTTATCTGAAGATTAAAATTTCATCTTTACCTGTTTTCCAACATTCTTGATAGCCAGCTGCTCTGGGGTCATTTTGTCCTCCTCTTCAACGGCCTGAGGTGGAAACACGAAGATGTTTTCATATTTTGTGGGAGCACACCAGGAGCAACTCATGCATGCTTATTTGTAACTCTTTTGCAGATATTGCGTTGCAGAAATATTGTTTATTTGTTTTAGGTCTTACAAGGCCCTAGGAATCCTGTACAAAGAAAATACAGAGTGTGTGTATGTGTGTGTGGACCAGCATTAGTATGATGGGATTCTAACTGCATTAGGTTTAATAGCCGTAAAGCCACACAACAGAAAGTCACTCATCGATCCTCTGGCCGATGCACCGGAGTCCAGGGTGGAATTAAATGATTGAGCAGTGATTTTCTTTGGTCACAAAACTGCCATTTAACCACTGAATACTAAGCCTTCTTAAAAGGCACAATGAGTAGGATTCATCAGGTGCGGTTTGTAAACACACTTTTTCACCGCTATTTGCGTTTTTTTAGACCTATGTCCACCTTTTTTTTGCAGTTTCTTCTTGTATGCTTGCTTTTGATCTGCTTAAGCTTAATACATTTGTATAAAGTACACGCCCAGAAACATACCCAAAACAGCAAAAAGGAAAGAAACAGCTACATACTTCTAGTTGATCCTAAGCTGAGCATTTCATTAAATACTTTATTAAATTGTATGTTAACATTTTAAAGTCAAATGTACTATAAACATTAGATAATTCAAACAGAACCGCATGTGTTGTGTGTTGTTTTAAAGGCCAGTCAAGCCCTCTGAATATTTTTTATATATTGTAGTTTCCATATATTTGTTTGGTGGATGTCTAAAAAGTTGTACCTTATTGTAGTTCTTAGCCAGCTCCAGCATTTCCTTGACGATGGTCTCGTTGAGCTTGCAGTGCTCGCTGTAGTCCTGCAGGGTCAGGCCCTCCATCCAGCTCTTCTTATGCAGGTTCAGCAGCATCTGAACAACAATAAGAGCTGAGGTTATGTTCTATTAATAAAAGTAATAATAATAAATGTTTCTGTAATAGTTTTTTTCTCATACCTTCTGCTCCAGCTCATTTTTCCTGTAATTGATGGTGATGGAGTAGTAGTGTCTGTTCAGTCCATGAATCAGAGCCTGAAACATAAGGAACCTCAAGGTAAATACATTAAGCAATAACATGCTACATAACCTCTGGGGTCTGAGAGCAAAATCCACAACATTACAATTCATATTCCACTTTGTTGTGATGCAATGCGGTTTGTATCTTTAGCAGTAGTGAAGGATATAGTCCGATTCAAGATTTATTTAGTTTTGGCTTGAAATGAGACCAAATGTACTCTCATAACGATATGGTGCCTGATATGCTGTTAATCTGACAGCTGATGGCAACAAAACAAGTCAAATGTTTTTATCTGGCCATTGTTGATTATCAAGTATTGTTCAGAGGGGGGGAAAAAACATATCCAGGTATTTTAGAAGAAATCCACCCTGAACGGAGGTGATGGTGCTGTGTTCAATGCGTTACCTGGATTGAGGGCTTGTTCAGATGACCCAGGTTGGATGTTGTTTGTCTTGGTTCATGACCCAACACCATCATGTTGGCATTGATCAATCTGAAGGCATCAATAACAACCTGAAGAAGTGGGGGGCGCACATTAGACCAGATTACCGAAAAGTAGGTAATTTCAAAATCTTTGTTAATGCACTTTATTTCTTCTCCATTTTTACCTTTCCCTTGACGCTCTGAATGGGGTCAACCACCACAGCGACGGCGCGCTCTGACAGGGCCTCAAAGCTCTGCTGTGTGTTGATGTCCACGCCGGACAACCAGCAGCCGAACCCAGGGTGACTGTGGTACCATCCCACCACCATCTCTGGTCTGATGAGCCACAAGGGTGGAAGAAAAAAGTTAATATGTTTAAAAGGTATCCACAGAAGGGTTTACGTAGACAAAAGACATGTGTCTTTTCAAAAATAATTGTTTTATTAAAACAGCCCTGGATTTACACTTAAGTTGTTAAATAATGTACACAACACTGACAAAGTATTTTTTGAATTACTGCGACTGTAGGTTTGTGATGGAGTTTTACCTTCCAGTCTGCTTCAGCATGTCCAACATCTTGGCTTGGAACACCGGGTCCACTGCTTCAACACTCACACCCTGAGAGGTTAAAACATTAATTTAGTAATAAAGAGCCAAGGCAGATGTGAGCACCATACACTGTCCTGTATTCAATTGTCATAATCAGCATGCATACATACAAGGCATTTAATGCACAGCTACATATTAAACAAGAATACATCAACTTTTAAATGACATTATAAGGGGCATAATCACAATATTAAATAAAATACGTACTGTTCCTGATTGGGGCATGGCAAACACATCGATCACTCGCACTGTGTAGTCATCCACAAATTCTCCCAGCATCAGTCCCATGACCTCCATCGGTACACCAGCACGTCCATGCTTCAACATCTAATGAAGAGAAACAACCGAAAAAGAGAGGAGTGTTATTTCAAATACAAAAAAATAAATGTATAACCATTAATAAAAGTCAATGATCATTGCAGATGATGTGGGATTACCTTGAGGAGAGCCAGAGAGGAGATGTAAACCTGCTCTGCCGTGTCCACAGCAGGGGCATCTGTTGGGGGGCCCTGAGGGGAAGAGCAAAGTTTATTTGAGGCCTTTCAAATACAGCACTTGCTTAGATAATCACTACAACCCTACTATTGTTTAGAATTGTAATTCATGTCATGTATAATGCGTTTACATTTATATGGTTTGATTCACTACATAAAGACCCTGGCATGGACACAAAATGTGTGTCAAGATGTGAGCTGACTTGGGATTGAAGCAGATATACATTGATCTTACTATTGATATAATTGAAATTACTTGTCTGGCCCACAAATATTCTTTTACCTATTTTAATTATATTAAACATTAATACATTTATGCTTAAAAGTAGTATTAGGGTATAAAAGTTTAATGCAACTAAGGAAAACTGGTTAGATGTTAAACCAGGCTGCACTGGGGACATCTTTGGACTTGGAGCAGCAAATCTAAAAAGGTAAACAAGCACGGGCCCCAGGACTAATTTCTGCCGAAGTTCTGATAGAAACCATCAGATTTGTGTATTATTGTATGGACAAATCAAACTGTGTTACCTGGCCAAGCCCTGGCATTCCCCCTCCGAGCCTCAGCAGCCGGTCCATATCGAAATCTGATGAACAAACACAATGAGGTCATGAGTTTTCCTTAAAGTATACAGCTGACAGACAATCTGCAATTATTAGAAGGATAACTTTAATGTTCACAAGACTTTAGAGTGTAAGAAAATAAATATATCAAAGTGCATTTTAAAGAAGAACAAATCCGTACAAAGATGTCATGGCACAAGCCAGAATTAGCTTGTTTCTTTTGAAATATATCATAGTTTCATAACATGTAGCTTGATAAATGTCAAATACCTCACTCACTTTACTAAACAATAAACAATTAACTAAATGTGTAGCTATGATTTCAAAGATTCAAGGTTTTATTGTCATATGCACAGTAGCTAGTGCTGTTATAGTAGTGAAAACCTTAAGCCCCAGTCTCCTTCAACAATGCAACATAAATAAAAGACAAAACAATAGAACAATACAAATGCTGTGCAAAAGAAACAGAAGAGAAATAAAATAATGACTTGTAAGGTTAAGGGTATGTCGTATGTGCTAGGATTTGCTTTGGCTCAAATTGACAGGTGTGTTGTCCTAGACCTCATAATGTCATGCGTTTCATCGGGAAATTCACAAATAAGACGAGTTCCCTAAAATGTGTTTACATTATAGCCTAGTAGATTGGATATTATATTGGATATACTTATATAAATTCTCATGATTTGTGTATTTTAAGTCCTGGTGCAGTTTAATTCATTTTAGATATATTATGGAGTATTTTAGGACCCAAATAAATCGTAAATATAATGTACGTTAGCCGCTAGTTAGCTTCAGTTGGCTAATTTACCCGTAGTCACGCAAACACGATATAAAGGGTCCGACAGCATCACAATGATCTAACATTTAAAGTATCACTTCTTCTGTTCAGCTAAAAAATTACAAGTAAATTGAGCAAACGAGGGTCTTTAATCGCTCGGTACTTTAACTTGCAGTTAGCATTTAGCTTGAAGTTAGCTTATTCATGCTATGCCTCTGTCATCACGCACAAGAAACACAGCAACAACGACCAACACTGACTCCATCTCACCGTCTTTTATGAAGGCTACTGGCTGTTTTTAAGATATAAGTCTACTTGCCTGTTGTCAGATATTTCGGGTTTTTAGAAAAGTCTGTGTTTCTTTCTTCAGTCAAGTCAAACCAACAATGAATCAGCCAGATTCCTGTCGTCCTGTACAGAAACTACTTCCGGCGCACGGATGATGTGTTTTGTTGTCGCCCGACTGCTAACTGCAACACCAAACACAAGGGGACGCCACTGTCATAAAACTATTAACTTGCACTATTTTATGTCATAAAGTCTAAATTTGCATTTATTTGCGTGATTTTCCTCTTTATATATAAACTGGTGTAGCCTGAGATACATGATTTACCAGTGGTGTAATGAAATAGAGTACATTAACTGTGTAGTGTACTTTTGAAGTAGGCCTACTGGTACTTGAGTATTTCCATGTGATGCTACTTTATATTTCTACTCTGCTATAAGGCAAATATCATACTTTTTACACTACTACATTTATTTTCGCACTCACAGTACGTATTAAAACACACGATATGCTATGGTATAATGCAGTAGTGTACTACAAATTACAGAGTATTTCAAGTAGGCCTATCTACATTTTGTCCACATTGACCAACAACAACACTAAAATACTCTTAAGAAAAACAGGATAAAATAATAACAATAATAATATAATACTGTGAATGGATCCATTCTGCTTAACGAGTACTTTTACTTTTGACAATTGAAGTACATTTAGCTTATCATTCTTCTGTACCTATTATTGTACATATTATTCTGAAATGGGAATTGTGCAGAATGAGTACTTTTACTTTTTGTTCTTTAAGTTAACTTTTGTACTTTTACTTATGCGAAATGTTGAAATCAGGACTTTTACTTGTAGTGGAATATCTTAAGTGCATAGTATTTGTGCTTAGTTCATCTTCCAACACTGCGATTTACATTGCCAACGACTGCTTTTATGTAACTGCTGACACATGTTAATACATGTGTTTATGTATAATCTACATATAACCTGTTAAATGTTTGACCTATTTTTCATTTAGTTTTAGAACTTTTTTAATAATATCTATGTGTTATTTATGTTTTGTTTTAGGCACTTTATATATTTGTTCTTTATCCAACGTTATGCTCCAACTGCTGCACAACAATAAACTACAGGATAAAAAATGTTATATATTAAGTTATCCCGTTATATATTAAGTTAGCTTATCTTATATCACTGGTTCTGTGTTATGCAGTTCTCTACAAATAGGCGCTTTAAATTATGTGTTTAAAGTACGGTTTAATTTTATACAGCAGTGAAACATCTGCAGCCTTGAAATTAGAAACATAAGAAGAAGTTAAGCTTTAACATTGTAATAAAACAGAATAAACAATAACATGTAAAATAACAGTTTATCTTGATACTTATAATATTGTTTCTGTAAAAGATGACAACAGTCTGGAGTTTACCTTAGGGTTGTTTTCTTCTGTTGGGTCTATGCCTCATTATTTCTTTATTTTGGTCAAACATGCTTGAAATCATTGCACTTGTTATTGAGAGTATGTATAAAGTGAAATATCTTTATAGCTAACATAATGTGCTTTATTTGTTCATAGTTTAAGTGCATCAATGGATTGGACACAACGGATATTTTTAAATCAATGTAAAGATGCACCCTGACTTTGCTTTCTAGCACTTCCTGTACTGGTGTCATTTCTGTAAAAAAAAACGATACAGCATCTTTCTTTCAATCCTAAAACGAATGAAAATGGCTGTGATGTTTGTAAGGTTTCTCATATTTCAACATGCAAGCATTTCATTATTCCCTGAGGAGCCACAAACTATGAGCGAAACCACACCATCACAGGACTGAGGAAAAGCAGCTCTGTTTGTCTTCAAATGTTACAGCCAGACAGCTGCCACTCCAGCAGAGGAGCTGGGACAATCTCCACCAGTAGTGACTGGTTACAGACAGCTCACCTACAAGAATTTCAAATTCCCTAATTCATCAGTGGATGAGGAAGGGGCAGATAATCATCCACATTCCTCAGCCCCTCCCTCTCCCCACCCACAAGACCTCTCCCCTCCTCAACACCACTCAGAAGTCGTAACCAGGATGCGCTTCCTTGACGTAGGTTTGAAACATTTCTATGGCCTTTGAGATCCAGCCTGAGTGAACCTATGAATATGTAATAATAATAATCAGTTAATAAGGTATTATTGGAAATTCAATTGGTTGGTTGATATTTACATATACCCTCCTTAAAAAGTAATGTGTAACATAATCCAGTTACTTAATCGAAGTAATCCTACTTATTAAACTTTATTACTTTAACATTAGTTTTCTAACACATTCTTAAAGAACATAAACTTGAACCAGACAGTTTAGAGCCTCAGTATTTAACACTTTATATTCTCATACGTTTATTACTATTTTTTAAATGTAGCTTTTGTTAAGATGGGAACAGACACACTTGATAAATGTTATGAGCTTTTATCTGTCAACTACTTTTTCCTCATTAATTGTAGCCTATTAATATTACATCTGATTTTAGAAGTAATTCTGTATATAATAAACGTTGTATGATTGCAATATTGACACTTCACCAATAAAGGATTTGATGTAAGCAACAACTTGATCCAAGCCAAAACAATACAGGAAAAACTGTCATTCTCTTTCCTCCAAAAGTAGACAAAGCGTGCATCATTATTGCTGACTGGGTTATCTCAATGAATTCAGCTCTGCCTGTGATTGGTTGACTTTTTCCCAGTTGTACAATTTGAAACCTATTCACTTTGTTGCTCGAAACAGAGAGGCAGCTTTTTGATAAATTACCCAGACAAACAATGGATAAATGTCCCAAAGGCCACAGATCAATCGAAGGATTCAATATTTGATAAATTTGAAGCTGAGCTGGTTAAAGGTACAATGCAAAATGATACAATGTATGCAGCTTAAATGTGTATTTCCGTTTAAATCCTATATCAAATCTAACATCCCACAAAAAGGGCAGTTTACAACACATTTGATCCAATGGATTAATCAATCAATAACTCCCAAACTGGGTGACAACAAGCACAGGAAACCATCTAAATACTACTGCAGCTGATTACTCAGATAGGAATGATTGGACTTTTCAAGGAACATCAGAGGTAGCTTGTAACACGACACCAGCATGAAACCGTAATCCTACCAGCGGAGGAAATAAGCGAGAGAAATTTGATGCTTTAAGAGCTTCCCAGCACCCTGATGGGATTTGGACTTAGGCTCGCTTTATAAATCTCCAGCAGGATGGCTGCTAGGGGCAAGCACTGCTTAAGTGTCCGTATGTGAATATAAAATGAGTTTAATTAGATAACAGTGAAAGGGAAATGTGTACCTCGACATTTAAATACAACATCTCTAGGACCACACACATGTCTGTCTAGCTGTAATTAAATTGAATTTTTCTCTCTGCTGCATCTTTACCAATCCGTTTATAGTTGTTAAACTGCGTTCCCTGTGATGCACAGTCTTGGTTTAATTTTGTCTGGCTATTTGTTGCCCATCATTCGACTCTTCCGTCTAATTTTCTGTCATTTATGTATAAAATGAAAGGCCAGATTTCACCCAAAAATAGAAATACTGCATAACATGAAAAGGTTATATTAAAAAAAAAAGTCATACAAGGACACTGACATGATATAAAGCCCTGAAGATTGTGTGTGTGTGTGTTGTGTGTGTGTTGCACACATTAAAATACTCTACATAAAAGCTGTGTATCATTTTATATCCTTTAGGTAAAATCTTTTGTATGGTTGCACTGCATGCCAGTCCAATTCCTCAATGAGGTTTGAAGAGTTTATGCGTTGGACCATAAAGTATTGTTAATGTGTTGTATGATATTGTTATGTTGTTGCATTGTAACTTAAGTTAAGATCACTTACTCGATAAATTAACAAAGAAAGACCGATATTTGCACGACAAATAGATTGAATCATTATTGTAAAATATTGAGATATCAATTTGCATATTTCCTAATGATTATATATATCATCGTCGGTTTGCTATCCTGGCTCCAAAATGGTGGAATGAGCTCCCGATTGACATCAGGACAGCAGAAAGCTTACACATCTTCGAGCAATACAATTACTAACAAAGCACTTATATACTAATAAAGGACTGGCTTATCTAAAGCCAGTTGAGTAGCACTTGAAATGTTTTGGCGCTATAAAACCTGATGTACTTATATGATTCTGTTTTCTTCAAGTTTGTATCTTCTTGGTCGAATGCACTTATTCGTCGCTTTGGATAAAAGCGTCAGCTAAATGCAATGTAATGTAATAGATTCTGTTGACTGCTCAATAATATTTTTTGTAAAATGTAAGGTCTAAATATTGTTTTAAATTGTCCACAAAGAATACATTTCTGATGGAGATTTACCATGTCCTCATATGACTCCATATTCAACCTCGATACATGCTGTACCAACTGAAATGTATCTGTGGCATTGAGTATTAAAAACTGTACAGAAAGTTGGTAAGCAGGTGTGTGGCGCAGTGGATAGAGCGTTGGTGTTTGGATCAAGGGAGCACAGGTTCAAACCCCACTGCAGTCAGCATCTCATTGTGTCCCTGGGCAAGACACTTCACCCCAAATTGTTCCTGTGGGGATTGCCCACAGTATTGAGTATGTAAGTCGCTTTGGATAAAAGTGTCTAACAAGTAACGTGTAATGTATCACTTCACATTTTTGATCATAAAATATGTCATACTTTACATTATGTTCATATTAGGGTCTTAATTCAAGTATCAATGAGGCTGCTGTTTGACACAATAACAAAACAACGGTTGAAACATTGTATTGTTATAAGATCCATGATCAAACTTATTGTGTTTTTTACATTTTTTTATAGATTGTTATTGTATTCAAGTTTTCAAATGTATGTTTATCATGTCTTGAAGAGACACTAAACATCTCTTTATCCCGAGAGAGAAAAAGATGATGATCTTAGTGTCTTCCAGTGCTCGCCCTGGCTCAACCTATCATAAGAATTACGAAGCAAAATACCTAAAAACACAAACTTGCACACAGGCTGTGAATAAAGAAAAGAGCTGGTTTGATTGATTCCATTGAGGGGGTTGGCCTGCTCTAATGAAGGGGGCTGTTCCTCCATCTGGGTGCAACAACTAAAAGCTTTTTGTAAGCCCGTGTCTGATGAACTGAAATAGGTCTTAGAGGTCAAACATGGGAGATCAGAAATGTAGAAAGATGGTTAGCATATGTTAAACCATCGACAGCAAACCCCTACTAATAAGCAACATTCGACCAGAAGCTTTAAAGCTTTAGTTCCTGTTTTTGTTCATCAGTAAGCGCTGTGAGTTATTTGTGTTTGCAAAAATGCTTAGTTTACACTTTATCAAACTGCATATACAGTAAGCAAATCAATCTTGTGAATGCACTCAAAAGTGAAAAATATCAATGCCTCTTTTGATTGATATATTCGCCAATGAGTCAATATGTTTCTACTTCACCATTAAAACCTTTTGTCACATGATCTGATGATAGTAGTATGTAGAGCATATATAGGCCAGTATGTCTAAGAGAACTCGTTTTATTTTAAGTTAAAAAGGCATGTTATCTTTAAATCTGTGTCCTTTATTCTTCCCCAGTTATTCACTCTATCCCATAGTTGGGATTATATAGGCAGAGTGTGACCTCCAGCTCAGGCCAGTCCCTGCTTATATTTCATTGCATCCTGATTCTCTGACATGTAGTGTGTTGGATGGGGGGAAGGGTAGGAAGAGGAAGAGGGTGTGTGTGTGTGTGTGTGTGTGTGTGTGTGTGTGTGTGTGTGTGTGTGTGTGTGTGTGTGTGTGTGTGTGTGTGTGTGTGTGTGTGTGTGTGTGTGTATGTGTATGTGTGTGAGTGTGTGTGCGTGTGTGTGTGGTTGGAGGAGGAGGGGGTGAAGAATGCTTGGTATGTGCGGACGACAACAACATGAAAGGCGACGAGTGTTCGGCCCAACTGATTGTGAGCCTCCAAATCAAACGTTAAAACACTTTGAATGCGATTATAAAAAAAGCCCCATACACCAGACGTCTATACGTGCCTTTGTTACATAAAACAAACCGCTAGTGCTAGTTTGTAAGAGGCGGCCACGCAGTTTTTTTGATGTGGAACACCCTGCAGAGGCGGAGATGGTTTGGTCTGTAGTAGGTGGGACTGCCGAGCGGTCTGCAGCAGGACGTCGTAGATCAATGAACCGGACCGAAGGCTTGGTCCATCGCCTGGTGTGCATCTGACTGTATAGATGTGTCAGTATACCTATGCAGGACCAAGGCTTTATTTTTTACTCTTAAGCAGCCCTTTCAGTATGCGGATGTTTTAAAACCGACTGGCTATTTCACAGGCTTCGTACACGGCTCGGATTCCGTCTCTAGTGGCTGCTCGTTGCGATTTTCTTATTGGGAAATTAAAAAATATCCCATCTGTAACCTCCAGGATGATCTTTGCAAACACAGGCAACCCGCTGAAGGCAGCCCCTCGCAAACAGGTAGGCCACAAACACACACGTCGGTTTATTCTATTATAATTATTTGTATGTATTTTATTTCTTCCTCCCAACCCCCCTACACTCTCCCCCTACTCGAGAGGCAGCATTTGAATGTACAGACTGATATAGATGACATTGGAAATCCTTTATGGCTTTCATATAGCACAAATGCGGGTACATCTCGTAATTTTTGTTCTAAATTAATTAAATTATATAGGGAAAAAAATATAGACATGTCAAACGGGAAGCTGATCCTCTGATAGGCTGAACGGAGAGATAAAACCAGCTGCTGACCCCATCCATAGCTCTACAACCGATACTTTCATTATTGTGTCCATATAACCTTGTTTGCCCAGTCACTCACCCCCTCTGGTCAATATGCATGACGGTTATTGTAGTCCATTTTATAGATTAATGCATTCTGGGTGAATCCAATGAGAGAGGGAGAGTGTAATGTAATGTATGTCAATCTGCTGGGGTCAACTGTGCTGCCTGCATTGTCGTTTTGACCTCTCAGGTGAACCAAAAGGTAATTCAGGGTTGTGGCCCTTTGCTTTCCCATCACATCCTCGATATTCAGATGGAAGATGGGAAAAGAAAGCAAGCAGGCACAGAGGTGGGAAGCAGCTGCTATTCCCACCTCTGATGGTGGTAATGTGAGCCTTGTTTCAGCTGAATTGGATGGAGCCTGCAGCCTTTATGAGATCCCAAATATCAGCTGAAACTGAAATATTTATTCATCAGAAGGCACAGTATATGACTTTGAGGGCAGTAATCTGAAACCAGCCACATATGAAACCCTGCAGGGAAGCGGTGAATGAGTTTTAAGTGTAGGCGTAATGCAGGTTTAGTCTGCTATAAGGTGTGATGATGCCTCGGTGAAATGTACCACTGTAGCTGCCCTCTAATGGAGTAGGCGTACTGTCTCTGAGGACTGATGTGAACCTTTGATGGTCTCAAACACAGTTAGTATTGTAATTGCACACCAAGAAAAATGTAAGGCCTCTGCTTGGAGACACAACAGGCCGATGGTTACTGCCACAGCGATCAATATTTCATCTATAAAATAAGCTGCCGTGAACATTTATCCATCAAATGACCGTGGAAGGATATCTCAGTGATTCCTGTTGGCATGGCTAGTTGTATCCATCCCTGGCTTTGGCTCTTGGAGTGGATTGTCCTTTGGTTATGGACAGATGGTGCGATTCTGCCATGCTTTGTCTTTGATCTGATCTGGAGTGGGTTTGGGGTGGCTGGGAGCTATTTTAATGAATGAGTAAGGGGAAGGAAATGCTTTGCATGATTTGGCTCACAAGTATGAAGAAAACTGTATGCTTGTGATAAACACTATTGCAGGATGTACGACGTGAACGCAGATGTAATCACTTTGTGATTCACAAAGGCCCACATACAAGATTAGGTATTTGTTATATGCTATGGTTTACTACCTTTTTACACCATCCTTGAGCTTAAAAGTCAAACTCTCCTACCACTCAAACACCGACAAAATAAGTATTCAGACGCTTTAGAATTATTCTCATCACAGTAAAAGAGAAATTATAACATTATATTATTTGACCCATAGGTCTGCTGCTAATCTCAGGTATCAATACATGACTGTAGTTAATTATTATAGCACTGCCTTCTATTTTAAGCTCAGCATGTGTTTTTTGTTATAAACATACAAAATGATTATGTGTATTTCACATTTCTCACCGAAATAAATAGAAATAGAAATATTAAGTACAGTACTTTGAAATGTCACTGGCCCATTACAATGGAGGACATTAGCTGTCTTGGCTAATATGGGGAACAGTTTGTATTATCTTAACAATATTACAAGGGATGACCTTTAATGCAGCATGATAATAAAATAACAATGTCAGGTCATGCCCTCTGTGTTTCTGCATTTTTTGTTTCACTCAGATGATGAGATGTTCTTGTGATCACTGTTGACCTGAGTTTAAATTAGATTATCTAGCTCCCATACCCTTCCTAACAGTGGGTTTCCTGTGTGCAGTCCTACCCCATGACTCCGTCCAGTCCCAGCAGCAGCAGCAACAGCAGCAGCACAGGCCTGGAGCAGCTCAGCAAAACCAACCTGTACATCCGCGGCCTGCCTCCCGCCACTACAGACCTGGACCTGGTCAAACTCTGTCACCAGTGAGTACACAAGCATGGACAGTATAAGCGTAACCAGTATGCTAATGTGTGTGCACACCAGTGTTTTGTCATTGATATTCTAGTTCGCTGAAGAGTCAAAGTGTGCTGAAGATATCACATACCAATGTCATTCATGCCTGAATTGATTATGGTCTCTTACAGGACCATAATATGTACCAAAATACAGTCTGTAAAACTGGCTGTGAAATTCATGTTGCAAATTCAAGTCAATGAAACTATTAGGTAATAATAATTAAATATATATATTATTAATATTTCACTGGCTGTGAAATTGAAGTTGCAAATTCAAGTAAATTAACTATTAGGTAATAATAATATATATATATATATATATATACATATATATTATTTGAAGGAATGTTTCATGTGCTGGAAATATGCTAAATATGGCCAGTTAAAAAAAAAAGAACATTCATCTGGGTTGCAACAAGGTTTGGTTAATCCCAACAAATGTCTCCTCGGATGTTTTTCTTTCTGATAGGTTTCATTATTCTTAAGAAGAAACTCATGGGAACATGTTCAGAATCAAAAGAAATATTTAAAATGTAAAAGACCATAGCTAAATAGACTAAATTGACATTTGACAATAAAATACAGTCTGCTGTTTTAGTGCCTCATTGTTGGCATTAAAAAAGAAATGTTAGTAAACCATAATGTATTCTGACACATAAAATGTTCCCATCACCATACCCCTTTAAACAGACACATGGACAATTCTTAGTTCAACCGTGGTATGTGAAGCAGACTAAAATGATTGTTTAAAAAAAAAAAAAAAAAAGGCAAGTCATTGAACATGTCCGATACCTGATACCATAGGCTTCATTGTGAGTGGTTAGTGTGGTGGATGCCGTAATTAGTGGAGTTTTGTCTCCTCTTTCCCTCTGAATCACAAGCATATGGAGCGAGGCATTCACCCATGTAACCAGCAGCAGCAGCAGCTGTTTGTGTCCTGTTTGCTTGTGTTTTGTTCATCTTCCCAATGGTGTTTGCCAGCACAAAGCAGAAATGAAAGTGCTTTTCATAGCAACAAGGTCTGAATGGTGATGTAAGCTAGGCATTCAGTGTGTATGTTGTGTGTGCTCGCAGCCCGTGTCACAGTTCAACCTTAGTGTAAAGTCAAAGATAAAGCAAAACCTGAAACATTCGTTTTGCTTGATTTTAGGAAACATGAAGGAGAGCGGTGATGTTCAGTATGTGCCTCTGAAATACGACCACATTTTGTAATTGAATCAATATTTCCTTTTCTGCTTGTGTTGTATTCTATTTTTGATTTTATTAAACTGTAATGTCCTGTAGATATGTATAGAGAGACACTTGATATTACCAATACACAATAAGAAGTCCAGGCGGTTATGAAACATTCTAAATATCACCAGTCTCACCTATATATATTTCTGAAGATAATTGTTTAAAGTAACCTGCATGTTGATGTGTGCACAGGTATGGCAAGATTCAGTCAGCAAAGGCAATCCTGGACAAGACAACCAACAAATGTAAAGGTCAGTAAGGATACTACCACTCCTCATCACTTATCCGGGCTGCAGATTTAGAAAATAAATAAATGTAGCAATATAACTTCAGTCCTCAGTCCTCTAAATCTCCAATGCATGTTCAAGAGTATCACACCAGGGACTGTCGAACTACCTTTTGATGCTATTTACTTATGTCAGCACACTTGTAAACCATATAAAAATACCACAAGATTTTAGATTTGAGAATGAATTTCCAAACCTTCTATGCAGCTCATGGTTTTCATTTTTCTCCATAGTGTACGAATATTATTTTGAGGCAATTTGATACTTTGCCTGTGCTGGGTAATTCACCATTGTCAACATGAATTGTGAAGGTGTCTGCTTTTATTTATAAAAAACATTAAAAGCATTATATATTTGCCAAACTGGTTGTGTTGTTGCATGACATCACTGCTGAAAGTGTAGCTTGATTCGCAAAGGTTTCAATACAATGCAACGAAAGCAGATTATGATGGATTAACTAACTCAAGCAGATTTACAGTCTCTACACACAGATTTTCACACTTAAAGAAATGAATTGAAACCAGTGAGGTACTGGGTGATAGGAAAACACATAAAGACATCAGAAACATCATGGTAGGCTTTGGAAAATTAAAAGAACGCAACGTACGTGTTCTTAAGTCATACATCTGGTTAAACATTGGTGCCGGTTTGGTTCTTAAAGGAATAGTTTGACTTACTGATGGAAGTCGCTGTGCATAGCAAAGGGAAATGTACAGATTAAACACAACAATATATAAAATGTTAATTAGTGAGCTTTATAGTTGCTCTTAGACAGATACAAGAGTTGTATCAATCTTTTTATATAACTCTTGGGAATATATTAAATAATTACTGAAAATGATTAACTATTTTTCAAAAATGTTTAAGAAATCACTCTGAGAGATTCCGTTTTTTATGTTTAATAGGAGACATTAAGATAACAATTCTGACGTGACTGAACATTTTAAATATATGTTCTATATATTTACACTACTTAACAATAAATATGAATAAATATGATCTATCACTCGGTAATAGTGACACATTACAACATGAATAAAAGATGGTGCTTTTTTCATTTATGTTAATACTACCATCCTTCTTCCGACTACAGGTTACGGCTTTGTGGACTTTGACAGCCCGGGGGCTGCTTTAAAGGCAGTCCATGCTCTGAAGACCAGCGGCATACAGGCCCAGATGGCCAAGGTGAGTTGGGTGTGTGTGTGTGTGTATGTGCTTCTTTAATTCACGCATGTGTTTGTTAGAGTCTGACATTAGACTGGTCACGTGACCTCAGCTGACAAGCTGTTCTTCCCGTGACCCCATTTACTTTCACTGTAGAAACCAGATGTCACATCCCTCCCTGCCAAATAACCTGTCAGTCAGTGTGACACATTACACACAGGACCACAAGCCCACACACTAACACACCCTCCTGCTTAGGCTTAGCTGTAGAGAGTGTAGAGATCTTTTTACCAGTATTATTACTATGTCACTGAGTGTTAACAATTATCGTTCATGCATACTGATGTAGGCATTTCTGCAGCGAAGCACTGTAGCAACAGTACTGCTGCTGTAAGCCATTCTTGATCCTCTGTGACTAATTCAAAGTAACCAGTTTTTCATCCAAAATATCTTTAGATCCCAAACAGGGTTTTTCTGCATCACATGTGTGATTTATGTCATAGTGGAGAGCAGTGGAAATTGAATCAGTTAATTTCCTTCAGTCCCTTTCCCAGCCAGGCCTGTGTGGTTGTGCTTAAACTCATGGTTGAGAGTTCATTGATGAAAGGTGCTCTCGGGGGACCTGCATCTCGCTGCTTTGTTCGGAACAAACACGCAGAGCACAGTTTGTGTGTTGTGGTAGCTAGGCTACGCTGCTCTCCTGCTGTTTCTAGGGAAGACCGTAGAGGCGCTGAGCTGCTGCTCAGCTCAGATGAAGTGTGTATCTGTGGGTGGGTGTGGGTGCGTGTGCACACAGGAGAGCTCATTAATGTTTGTTCAAAGTAATGTCTTCTTCTGACCCTTAAACCTAAATAACAAACCATGTTCCATACAGACACATTTCTAAGCAGAAAATAAACATCCATCAGTATTTAATGTGTCAATGAGGAAATAGAGCACAACCACCATAATTTCTAGTTTATTAGCATATATATTTATTGCAAATGAGCCTCCTTCATGAGTAATTATTTTTGTATTTCAGCATGCTCTCTCTCAGGTCAAATGCGGAATATACTATAAAACACATTTAATGAACGTCTTATTTTCCATCTTCTTTTCTGTGAGCAGCAACAGGAGCAGGACCCCACTAATCTGTACATTTCCAACCTGCCTCTCTCTGTGGACGAGAAAGAGTTGGAGAACATGCTGCAGCCCTTCGGCCAGGTAGTCTCCACACGGATCCTCCGAGACTACAGCGGCAACAGCCGAGGCGTGGGCTTTGCCAGGTCAGTCACAGAAATATTAAATCAGTTGTAGAAAAAATCGTTCAGCTTGATTATAAACTTGTGATGATGATTGCATTAAGTGCCGCAATGGCTCCATGTGGCTACTGTTCATGCACTTAAGCATGACAGTCAAACGTATTACTGTATAAGCTGTTCTGGAAGTCGGCCCTGTTGACTGTAGGACTGTTTTTACACTGCTGTCAGTGAGTTAATAATAGCAAACAGTGTACATATTAATACACATGAAGGTTGTGTTTGTATTGACGTTTCTGTTGACGTCATTCTCTCACAGCATCTTACATTTCAATGCAAATGAAAAATGTGCTACTGTTTTTACAAGTAAATAATATTACCTCCTGTCCCAATTCATATACACACAGCCATTTGTGAATCTTCGTCTACCATGGTTTGTCATTCATAATTGAATGAGAAATGGCATTAAATGAGGAGGAACAATTATTCTCAAACTATCCCATTTTGTGTCACTCCTCACAATAGAAATTCCCAGTAGATCGTCCCCGTGTGATTTTGTGATGATTCATTGCTTTATATTTCTCCACTGTCAGGATGGACACCACAGAGCAGTGTAATGCCGTCATCGCCCACTTCAATGGAAAGTTTATCAAGATCGCTTCTGGAGCTATGGGTAGGAAAGAATTTCACGTTTCTGTTCACTCTTGCTCAGATGAAAACTGCGCAGGTGCTGGTGATGGATTTCTGAGTGACGGTTAATTTGTTGTTTTTTCGTGCTTTGCCCCCAGCTCCCTCTCAGCCCTTGCTGTGTAAGTTTGCAGACAGTCAGAGGAAGAAACATGCGCACAGCGGGTTTATTCCCAATGGACAGACAGGAGATCTCAGACTAGTATGTATCTGCTTTAATACTTTTTTGTTTTTATTGTTGTATTTTTTATTATATGCAAGTCTTTTTACAATCAAATCTTATCCCCTTAGTTGTCTACTACAGAATAAATAAAGTCACTGGATACACGTGAAAAAATAGCGGCAAAAATAGTAAATCTTTTCCAGGATTCATTGTGAAAAATGTCAAGATAGTGATAACAGTTATGGTGTTTTTACATCTGTACACCAAATTATGAGCAATTTCCTCGGAGTTGTACAGTACAAAAAAAAATGATAAATGATAAATCAAAAGGCATATTTTCTTAACTTGCTCCCATTTAAACCCATTATAACTAATAAATTGTTCAGAGGCACTGATTTGATTCGCATTTTGATAATATAGTAGTAACATACACATATGTAACTTCTAATTATTGTCTATTTCCTTACCTTAGGGTCAAATGACTCTTACCTATGACCCCTCCTCAGCAGCTATACAGAATGGGTAAGTCACATTACATGTAGCAGGTCATGGCACCATTTACCTTTTAACTAAAGAAATATTAGCTGAGCTTTAATTTGAAATACTGTGTGTTTCCCAGGTATTATCCTTCTCCATATCCAGTGAGCAACAGGATAATGGCTGTGCAGCCGGCGATGTCTCCCTACATGTCTCCAGTCTCTGCTTACCAGGTACTGCAGAAGATCCTGAATAACTGAATTGATATCCTCTTTCTCTCTTCACCTTCTCTTTGCATTTGATGTATCGGTTTATTTGTTGCTTGTGTGTGGGTTGTACAAGTGCTTTAGATATAACAATAGGTGTTAAAGCTGCCCTGGGCCACTGCAAACTGTGGCAGCTCAGATTGCCTGTGGATTTATATTCAAATCCTTTCAAAATGGAAGAGTTTGGTAAACCAGAAATAATGTAATATGACACTATGCTTTCTAGAGTAAAGTGGGCAAAATAACCTCATATTTGCAGCAGGTACATCTTCTCTGAGACACATTTTCCCTAACTTGGGATGTTGCTCAATGTTTTGTAATATTTCTTATGGACTCAATACTTTCTTTGCATCAGAAACAAGATCCTTGCTTGTAATAAATGTGCACAAGTGATGAAGCACTTTAGAATAGAGCCCTCACCAGGTGTTCTTCAGGTAAATCAACGACGTGTTTTGGACCTGTCTTCAAAGCCTTTCTGCTAGACTTTCCTGTCATGTGGAGACTTGGTATTTAGCTCTTAGTAATAAGCTCAGAGGTTCTCTTTGTGCGGTTGGAAATGCCCTTACATTTAATGAAACACCTGCAGGTTCGATCCTCGACCTGGCACCTCAAGGCCTCTGGTTCTGTGAACACTTACTGTATGAGCTGTCTTGTGTTTGAGGGAGGAGTTTTTCATACCAATCCATAACTAGTATTGAAGTCTCACAAAGGATCACCTTTTCACTTGGATAAAGGGGGAAGGTTCTCCCCTGCAGGTTCCCTTCATGCCCAGTGTGATCTCTGACAACACCAAGTAGGATGATCGAGCAGTTTAAGTTTTCGATCAAAAGCTGAACACTATTTCTGGATTTACATGGTTGATTAAGGTCCCTGAGCAGAAATGGATGGATGGATGGATACAGTATATGCTATTTGAATCAAATGTTACATTTAGAGTTATTTTTGGGGAAAAACAATGGTTATTAGGATTGTTAAGTTAGTTTGTAACATAAAAGTTTAATTCCAGACAGGTCAATAACTCTTATTTTCCATCTGTCTCTTGTTCTGCCTCTCCCTTCCTGTCTGACCCTCCATTAGGTACAGAGTCATTCTTGGGTACATCAACCATATATCATGCAACACCCGGTAAGTTAACAACGGCATTTGCCCTTTTTTTTTTTTATAGACCACCTCCTATTCTGTGTACAGGAAATGGGTGTGTGGCGCCGCTGCAGCTCTGAGCTCACAGTGTTACTTTAATCAGACCGTTCTGCTGACACAATAAAACCAACATCGTCTAAAGCTTCCCCAAATGTAGGAAAAGGCCAGAGCTGACGCCAGTTCTGGGAAATAGCCACTGTGTATTAAACGTTGTATGTGTGTTTGAGTGTGTATGGAAGAAAAATGGGAACAACTAAAAAGACATTCAGCCACCACCGCCCCCTCTCCCCCCGCCTTTCTCTGGATCCAGCAGGAAATGCCTGGAGCAGAGACAGTCTTGTGACTCTTTGACTCTTCCAACAGATGGTTTCCAGTGGAACAAGTGTCTCTGCTGATCTCCCCCCTCCCCCACTTTGTATGGACTATTCCCTAAAGGCGTCATGTTTAAAGGAATATACCACATCTGAAAACAGACTAGCGCTGGCAACGTCACCTCCTTTTACATATTTTCATCCTGTAATCCTGGAGCGTCAAATACTTCATGTTAACCTCAGAGTAATATATCGCAACAGCGTTAATGCTGCATATGTGCTGTAAAATATCTATTCAGACTAGGTTTTAAACAGTGACGTGTGTAATACTCAACACACACACTGCCTGTCATTGTTGTTGCATCCTGTGCTTGCTATTTTATCAGGTATTTCGTCAGAATGTGTCCATTTAGTGTCCAGAACCATGTGATGTGTGCTGAAGGCTCAGCTGGTTTGTATTACAGGCTGCTGTGATGTCTCCCTCTGTGGATCCCTCCATGTCACTGCACCCTTCAGCCATGATTACTCAGCAGATGGGCCAGCTGTCACTGGGAAACTCTGGAGCGGTGAGTGGAAAATCACACAGCACTAATCAAATTAAACCTGTAAAGTATAATTAAATACAAAACACTCACAGCTATTTGGGCAACATGTTGGTTTCAATTCATGCAATCTGTGTATAACAGTGACTAGACACAGACTTGTGAACATGGCTGAACAGTGGCTTATTTGAAATATTCGTAATTGGACATTTTGCATGGACTTCCCTGGATCAGTGCGGTGAAATCTTTATTTTGTATTATTCATTTATTGTATTATATTATTTTTAAATGACAGTGAAATGTTCATGACACTCAATATGGTATGTTAAATTACAAGCATATTGTCTAATTACAAACAATTACAATGTAAAGTCTTGTGTGAAGCATAATTTAACCATAAATGTAAAGTATCTTTTCACACAGTTTCTACTAAATACTTCAACATTAGTTTTATAAACCGGCAGATTTACTGATCTCTGTGTTTTATAAGTCATATAGGGGAGGTTGAAGATTAAGTCTATTTCATGATTTAAATTCTGCACCATTATCTGAATAAAATAAAATGTATATTGATATATGAAACATTTTATTTATCTTATAAGTTTGTTTGGGCTGGGCATTTATATGTGCAGGACATATTAGATAAATGCAGCCCCCTCTAAAATACTTAATGCTATATGTAAAGCAACATTTCTTCTCAATGCCTAAAAAAAGTACTGAAACGGTCCCAAACGATGGAATTCCTTTCCTTATACCTTTTTACAATTAAACTTGAAACAGATTTGCTCACACTGTCATGTAGTTGTATCCTAACCTAATTTTCTTTTATAACTTTCTTGAATCCTCACTAGGAATGTATTATCTCTATGTACATGATGATGATTTTTGTTTTTTTTAATTTCCTGTGGTTTCAGCTTTCTAATGTCTTTTCTTTTCATGTTGAGTAACACAAGATGCCCGTTTAACAAGTTTGGACGAAATGTAATACCATTTACTAATTGAGATGTATTCATTGTTTTCTTATCTTTCAGTATATGTCGGCCAACCCTGGTGTCCAGGGAGCTTACATGCCTCAGTATCCGCCCATGCAGGCAGCAGCTGTAAGTTTAATGTTTCTTTGTCTCATTCAGCTTTTCATTCAAAACACTCCCGTTTCCACCTGGTGTCCATTAAACTGTCATTAAATCTTCAAGAAAAATTGTTACAGGATATTACTCCAGCCCATGCCACTCCAATCTCATATCTTATACAATCAAATATGGGAGTCATACAGCATTGAGTTGTTTTTGTAGAGTTAGTCCTGTACAACTATCAATTATCTCAGTGCAAACACCGTGAAGACAGTTATTATCACGCTCTAAATGAGAGACGCTGTTTTTGCTTTTCAGGAAAACGGCACGCCGCAACAAGTGGATTCTTCCAACAACTCGTCTCCCTACAGTCAACTCGGCAAGTAACCACAGGTACGCTGGAGCTTCTGAATGTAAGCCAGCTGACGTTAACCCAAGCACAATGTTTGTTTCAGCAACATCACTGCCTCCTAATACCAGTTTTGGTAGCACAATATAATAAGACATCAACAGTTTAATTGACTATAAGTACCTGCTTTATTCACGTCTTTATACATTTGTTTAAAGACATGAATACCAATAATTTATGGGTTTACCATTTGTTAAAAAGTTATATAATTTATACAGGGTGCATTTGTCAGTCAATGATACCAAGATCCCACTGTTGCTGATATTAGTTTATGGTTTAATATCAATGCCTTTGCTTACTGTGTTTATTATCAGGCTAGATTGCTGCTCTGTGAGCCAGAGGGCAGGTGGGAGGTTGCCGATGACATCACCGTGGTAACAGTCACCGCCTTCTCTGATTGGACCAGATGAACTTTTTTGCACAGCCCCAATGTTTGTGGTGGAAATTGAGGACAGTGTAAATGGACTCAAACAGTTGGCTAATCACAGAAGAAGAAAAAAAAGATTTATTTTGATAAGAAACAACATGCTCTTCTTTTTCTCTTTTTCAAGGATTCTCAAACAAATGCCAGAGGACCCCCACCCCCCCCTTAACCTCCCCCTCTTCACTCCTACCCCAGTATGATGTGATATTAAACATGCATGAGATTGAGATAGTTCCCCCCCCCTCCAAAGTTTCTATGATTTTATAATTCCTTTATTTGTGATATATGAAAAACTTGCAAAACCTTGTTTGCACTGAAGTTTAAAGAATATCTATCTTGCCACAGAATAGCTCACAAAATCAATTCATGTTCAACTGCACTGACAGCTGATACAGGTGACCATTTCATTAGGAAATTAATGAATTTATTATTGGAAAAGGTGCCTTCCTTACGCCACATCAAACATTCTCTAACATTTTTTCATCAAACTTAATCAGGTGTCATATTTCTGATTGAACAAACGTGTGTGTGAAATTATGGAGATTTCCATTGAGTGTTTCGCTATCTAGTCTTCTGGTAGCAATAAAACATTGAGAGTCCCAAGGCAATACTGAGAAAAAAGCAAGGTAATTCCTTATTTTCCCTCTATCCTTTTTTAAAAAAAATCTTCAAGACGTGACTGAAAAAAAAAGAGCAGAACTTTTATGAAATTACAAGTTTTACACCCAATGGACATCTTTTAGGAGGGTTTTTTTTTTCTCTCGTGGTCAGTTTGACCAGTGATCTACCTCATGGTTCTGCCGCAGTCTGCTGGTGTTGTGGGGTTTGCAGGTAAAGCCCCGTTGTTCACCAGAGTGGACGAAGCAGAACAAAGCCACGCTCAGGAGCTGGCTATAGGACTTCTGCCCGTTTGTCTCCCACATGCAGCGTTTCTCTTCCTGAACTGCAAAGAAACATTGTGCTTTGTTTCCTCTTCGTTTGTCACTGCTTCTGTTCCCGTGTTTTTGTTCTTAACATGATGAGCGTTGTTCGGTTAGGAGGCTCCTTTATAGAGATTCAATGTAAGACAACTAGCCTACTAGCTTCTCGTTGAAATAGTTGGTTTACAATGGGCTTGAAACAAATACATGCAGGCTACGTGCATTTATTTTGTACATTCTTCTGCCTTTGCCATTCTAGAAACATCTTAGATGACTCACCGCTTTCCCTTACATTTTCTCTTTTTCATTTAAGAGTTGGTTACACTACTACTGTAAAGTTCTCCAAAAGTAATGCTGAGATATACCCAACATTTGGTATACAGCAGCAGAACAGTGTACATGCAAAACAGTTTGGATCTCAAATCTAGATAAAATTGTAAATGATATGCATTCAGGGCCAAAAGTGAAAAATAAGTGAGTGAGTTTGCTTTGCTTTTTTTTTACACTTCTATGAGACGAGAAAAATGGTAAAGCTGTATGGTCGCGGTGCTTTCCCCGATTAAATCGGGTCAGATCCCCCGATAGTACTGTAACAGTAAATGCTCACTTTTGGAAACCACAAGCAGTTACCTGTTTTTACTGCGTGAACTTTCCCATTCTGAACATTTGTTGCTGGAAAAAATGTAAAAATGAAAAAAAAAAATTGTACATGTTATCCTCATTGCTACCCCTGTCACTTTCAACTGATTCTCAAACAGTCTTCTCCTTCCTCTCTCCTTTGAAACATTGGAATAAAAACAGTGCTGAATAAAATGCTCTTCTCTTTCTCAGATGCGACTCTGTCTCTTTTATTGAAAGCTAAATAAAGCCTTCACTTTTCTATAATGCATCTCAAAATGTATTCTCCTCTTCCAGGAGCTTCCAACTTTAAATCTCTGCATCTCAAGTAATGTAATACAAAAAGATTCTCAAGAGATCAGAATTTGCTCACTCCAGAGCATTGGTAAACCTTATATTCTTTTTTTTACATGCTGATTTGTAGAAAATTGATCTTCATGTTTTAAAGGTCCCATGTCATGGCCATTTCTACTGATCATAATTCCATTGTTGAGGTATACTAAAATAGATTTATATTGTGCAATTTTCTCATACAGCATCTCTGTAAACTACTTGTATTCACTGCATTTCACTATCTGCCTTTAACGGCTCGTTGTAGCTCCAAAAGCTCCAGCCCCCACCCTCCCTGTGAGCACAGTGTGCTCTGATTGGTCGGGACGTTGTGAATCGCGCTGAGCTCCGTGGAAGTGTTGTTTCCTTGTTTAGCATACACAGCTAAGCACAGCCAAACTCATCCTGAGCACACACAAACTCACAGTCGAAGTAAAAACAATAAGTGTGGCTTGATATTGAGTAAGAAAAAGGTTGATAAACGCTGTGAGAATGGGTCTGCAGAGAGAATTTCGCCGCGATCCCAACTGTCTGTTATCAGCCTGCAGCCAGGGAGGAGAAATCAGCAGAGCTGCCTGCACTGTGTGTGTGAGGAAGTCCGTGGATTGGTCAATTTGGACCAATCAGCGGGGGCTTAACGTAACGGCTCCGCGGATTTGTCCATTTCGTTCCGGGTACGGGGTTACGTCACCCCGTCCCGGAAGAATCAAATGGACAATGGCGTATCTCCAACGAGGCGTTTTGGGGAGGTATTTTCTGTGTTAGAGTTTTACTCGCTACAGGGTGTACTTTGAGGGTTTTGACTCTGTACACCGTTTACATGCATAAAAACCTTCATAACACACAAGGGGACGGGTAATAACCGGAAAAGCATGACATGGGACCTTTAAATCATTTATGTGCCTCTTCAAACTGGAAATGAATGTACCACTTTTAAATAATCCACAATAAACAGTAAAACAAAGAGTTACTGGCTCCAACAACCTAAAATCCTCTGAGCATGTAATAAATATCAACAAGACGCCTTTAAAGTCACCGTCATGTATTTGTAATGATAAATGGGTTGTACTGATTATCTGGCAACAGAGGGCACTGTTAGGCAAAGCTGTCCAGCATATTTGAAACCAGAACTAATGTTTAAGCCTGGATATCTTTCCAATGTCTGATCTCATGTGTGCAACTTATGACGGATCAGATGAGCAACATGTGTGTGTTCATGCACCTGCCCGTCCTGCACTATTTTAGGCACACAGCCTTTGTAGTTTCACTCTCACACCGGATCTCCCGCCTTAAGCTCAGACTTAGCGCAGCTGATCCCAGAGACATAAAGGCACCATGCCCCCAACTCTGACCAGTCAAAGGGATCAAGATTAGCCATCACACCCTCTGAAACCCCCCAACACACCACCCATTCAGTCCAAACTCCAGGAATACTCATATGCAGCATACACACATGTCAATCAAATGCCTATTGTAAGGGCATCAAGCCTTTGAACATAAGATACATGCCAAGTGGAGTCCCTCGCTCTTTCCTCTCATCCGCCCTGTCTCTCTTTTAATTCTCCACAGCTGAGGGGACACATGGCACTGATCCCTTGAGAAGACCCAAGGTCAGACTGGGGGCACAGACATTAAGAGGGGAGGCCTGGTTCTGGTATCCAATATCCTTCATTTAGTGTGATACACGCTAGCAATTCAATACATGTGATGATTTCTAAAGATGTATACTTGTTTCTTTTAATACTGTGCTTTCCAAATTATTTTAAATTTTTTGTAAGATAATAACCAAAAGGGGGCTCAATGAGAAAGTAACTGCAGTTTAGCTTACACAATGGGGATGCTAGTAATTACTTTACAACTACATAACTACAGATAATTAGAAGAGCCTATTAAACACAAGCTTAGTAATAAATCCAACCATCCAACATCATTAGGATTTGCTTTATTTCATTTTAATTGTTGGACAGAAATATCATTTAGTTTTGGACTAGTGTTAAGACAGAACTAGCACTGCGGACAGATTGCTATTAAAACATTTGCCTCTGACCTGAACAGCACCTGAACTTTGCCTGATGAGAAACCACTTTGAAACTAAATATTGTCTGTCGCAATTTATTGTTTTGCTTCAATGTTGTTATCTGAGTATTGGAAAATGTATTAAACAATACTGTTTCTTGACCTAAAAATAACTCAGTGTTGATGTCAGTTTTAAACTAATCTTAAAAATGTGTATAAGTTCGGTCCATTTTCTTTGAGAAAAAAAAGCCTTTCTTTAGCTGCACGATGTTTAGTGCTAAGTAGTAAATATTGGCATGCTAAAACAAGCATGGTAAACAGGTAAACATGATACCTGCTAAACATCAACATGCTTGCGTTGTCATTGTGAGCATGTTAGCATGTGAACATGTAGCTACAGCAGAGCCACAGAATCACTAGCATGCTGTTAAATATTAGTTTTTATCGAAACCAAGGGTGTAAGGATGGAAATTGTTGCACAAATTGTAAAGCCCTCTGTGGTAATACACGTGATTAAGGGACCGTCTAATGTTCAATTATTTTATAGTGTAGGCTTATGCTCTAAGGTCTATCATGCATGTGTACACCTGCATTCCAGCCATACTTCTGTAAGAAGGAGGCTGTATCACAGCACTGGCACTCCTTCGCTTGGCTTCTTCCTCCTCCTTACTGCAGGAAGTAATTGAACTTGAACAAACATGTGTCCATACACACACACACACACATTCAAACACACACACATATTGTACACACAATCCAAACTAATCACAACCAATACTCTGAGTCAGTAGTGTTGTGCTGCAGTTCACACCTGCTTCAGCCTCTAGAGTGCAACACTATCACATCATTCAAGTTGTCTCTTAATAAAGAAGCTGGCTCCTGTGGAGGTCTCACAGCCGGCAGTTGTTACTGTCACTCATGATCATCACAGCCTCCCCCTGCACACCCACATGCACACATACACACACACAGGCACCAGCGAGTTGGAGCTTGTGAAAACACCCACACATGACCCCAGTATGCATGCACACACACTCACCCTCTTTCAGGACGCGCACACACACACAAAAGCACACATGAGCCAAGGAGCATGGGCAGCAGGGTCACCCTAGCGCCATGCTTCATAAAGGGCGCCGTTACAATAGGTTTACTGTTACTCTGACGACTGCCGGGATACAATAGGACTGAATGTGCTGGCCTGATGCTCCTCCATTTCTCTCCATTTTTCACTTCATGACAAGGAAGACAGACTGAGACGAGACAGCATGAAAGCAGAGGACGGCCCTGAAGGTGAGTTGGCTCATTGCAGTGATAATGTCATATGTATTTTCATGTGTATGCATAGGAAACATGTAGTATTGAGAGACAGCTATGTGGGAGAGTAATTTATGGATTGCATACATTTGTTATGAGACTGATACCCATTAAAAACATGTCATGGTGTGCTTCTAATGCTACTGTCAGATATCCAAACTGTTTTAATTTGAGTATGGTGCAAATGAAACACATTATGACACCTTAAGCATATATCTTGATCATACAGGACATGCAATCAACTGAAAAATGAGAGCTTACAAAAAAGTGGTGTTGGATTTCATCATGCTGAAATATTTCTTAAGAAATTCTGAAAAGGATGAGCAAGGACAGGAGAGGAGATGAGAGGGAAGGAGAGGAGATGAGAGGGGAGAGAGAGGGAAGAAGAGGAGACTGGCATACGTAAAACGGAACGGAAATACTGTGGGCCAGAGGAGGTACACGTTAAATGGAAATGTCACAGACCGACACTTCAAGAAGGTTACTCTGAAAGGTGGATCTAAATACAGAGAGCTGAGGAGAGAGGGGTGTCACTGAAAGAAGAAAGGAGGAAAGGGGTGAGAAGGATTACCGTAATATAGGGGTAGGGGTGGAGGTGGGGTTGGGTTTGGGGTGACAGATGGGACTTACCCAGATCCAGAGGGGTGTGGTGCTGAATTGTGAGATTGCTCTGAGTTGGGACAAGCAGCGATATTTGCACTGCAGCTGTCAATGATTCAACACCTACGGAGCTCCACCCCCTCCCCCTTGCATGATACACACATGCACACACTCAAGTTCCTATTTCATATCTTGTGATAGACCTTTATCCTTGGTTTTGTCTTGAGTCAATTAACAAGTTGAAAACATTCCTTTGAGACAGTGACACTGATTCATGTTCTTGTGTGGTTAAAGATTAACATTTATTCTATTATGGTGTCTGCGTGATAGAGGTATACAGGCCATATTTGCGTATGGTGTGGCCTGTCTGTACTTTATTATTCCTCTTCGACCAAAGTTCAATGATTAAGCCATTTTCTTACAGTGGAGCTTTAGTTAGCTGTATTATAATAACCTATTGTATTGGACTTAAATGTGTTAACATGGATGGATATATACCCAAACAAAGATTTGTGTTTGTTAAGATGTAGGTATTATTTGTTTGAAGAGGAAAATATATAATATATAAGATTAAGTAGAAGTCTATCTATCTATCTATCTATCTATCTATCTATCTATCTATCTATCTATCTATCTATCTATCTATCTATCTATCTATCTATCTATCTATCTAGTACAGAGAAACTCAGATTCCTTAATAATGTAAAAGTACAAATTCAACAACTCCTGCATTCTCACATATAGCTAAGTACTTGGAGAATCAGCTAAATGCACTTAAATTATCAAAAAGAAAGTACTGATTTTGATCATGAGCTAGTTTAAAGTCTTGCAGTTTTGTCCAGGGGTCCTTAATAGGGGTCATGCCCCTCCAATAGCTCACATCATAAATCTGCATTTTTTGTGAAACAAAGGGGTTGCAAGCTTAAAAGGGTATCTGTTTCTTTATCTTTGC